CCCTTTGTTAGGTTGGGGGCACGATCCTGAAAGATACTGTCTCAAACTTCACAATTCTAAATTCTAAAATCTTGAAAGATCAAAATCTGAAAAATATAATTCTGGGAAAATTAATTTTAAAAATATTTAAAAGACAATTATCTGTGTCTTTAAAAGGGGATTTATTTGAAAAATGCATAAGAACATAGCAGAAAACTTCATAGGCCACTTTACACAATAAAATGTGCAATAATGACACAAGCATTTCTATAAGCATGAACACTAATGACAGTTGCAGGGGTATTACAGTTATGAGCAGACAAACTATATTCACAAAGAAATAGCCCATATATAACTGGCGTCAGCTGAAATATCATGGCAGACAACCTAAGTTTTCTGACAGAATCCATCAAAAACCAGGATGGGTCACCACTGCATATGAGTCACCCAAAGAGCCACGATTTCAATAAATTTTATCTTTCACAAAAGCAAATGTACAAAAATAACATTTCTTCATTTACTAAATTTCAATGTTTTTATGTACACACAGAGTCAATGCTGTGACTGACCTTTGTGGTGTCAAATTTGCAAAAAAATAAAAATATATAAAATCAGTTATATTTCTCTAAAACTCTTTACATTATTTATACCCCAGCTTTGGAAAAGATGGAAGGAATTTAGCACAGCGAATTTTAAAAATCTACCCATCTGACAAAGGGCTGAGATCCAGAATCTACAAAGAACTAAAACAGATTTACAAGGAAAAAACAAACAAGCCCATTCAAAAGTGGGTGAAGTATATGAACAGACACTTTACAAAAGAAGACATACAAAAAAAAAAAAAAAAAAAAGAAGACATACATGAGGTCAACAAACATATGAAAAAATGCTCATCATCACTGGTCATTAGAGAAATGCAAATCAAAACTACATTGAGACTATCTCATGCCAATTAGAATGGTGATCATTAAAAAAATCTGGAGACAACAGATGCTGGAGAGGACGTGAAGAAATAGGAACACTTTTACACTGTTGGTGGGAGTATAAATTAGTTTAACCATTGTGGAAGACAGTGTGGCGCTTCCTCAAGGATCTAGAAATAGAAATTCCATTTGACCCAGCAATCCCATTACTGGGTATATATCCAAAGGTTTATAAATCGTTCTACTATAAGAATGCATGAACACGAATGTTCATTGCAGCACTGTTTACAATAGCAAAGACCTGGAACCAACCAAAATGCCCATCAATGATAGACTAGACAGGGAAAATGTGGCACATATACACCATGGAATATTATGCAGCCATCAAAAACAATTAGTTCGTGTCCTTTGTAGGGGCATGGATGAACCTAAAAACCATGATTCTCAGCAAACTGACACAAGAACAGAAAACCAAACACCGCATGTTCTCACTCATAGGTGGGTGTTGAACAATGAGAGCACATGGACACAGGGAGGGGAGCAACACACACTGGGGTCTGTCGGAGAGAAATAGGGGAGGGAGAGTGGGGGATGGGGAGTTGGGGAGAGAGAGCATGGGGAGATATGCCAGATATAGGTGATGGGGAGGAAGGCAGCAAAGCACACTACCATGTGTGTACCTATACAACAATCTTGCATGTTCTTCACATGTACCCCAAAACCTAAAATGCAATTAAAAAATAAATAAAATACTGACAATTTAAAATAATGGGAATAAAACAATAAAAGAAGAAAAAAACTTAAAAATATCTTAAGAAAATTTTCAATATAAGGAAGTGTATTACAGAGGTAGATTTCGGCAATTGCATGAAGGTAGTCAATAATAACTGGTGGACTTTCATGATTCTTAACCTTGAAATCTTGTTTTAGGATGAATAGCTGTTTTTTTCTTTGTTTTGTTTTTAGTTTTTTTTTTTTTTTCTATTGGGGCATGGCTCAAATTGGAGAATACGTCCACATTCATTTTCCACATGGTGCCGCTCTTTTGAATTCTTCCTTATTTGATATACAGCTGCATGAGCATTCCCTATTACATTTTCCCACTTTCTGTGCCATGCTTCTTTATTTGGAGGAGTACAGAGAAATCTGTTCCACATGTACTCACATTCAGACTACAAATTTGTCAGAAACAATTCTAATGATGGCTCAATACCGTTGCATGCCTTCTCCTACCATGTACATAATTATTTTCAAGCCAGTCGGTGACTGTGCAGGTGTTTTCAAAGAAATTTGGCTTTAATTTATTAAACCCGTCTATAGTTTCATGAGATGGAAGGATAACGTATTATCAGACAGTTTCCCTCAAAGGGTGGGCCATGGATGTGTTTTCTAACCTATTGTATTGAACTATTCGTCTCTTATTATTTATTCTACTTGTTCAAAAATATATAGCTTATTTGCATTTTTATATAAATTTAGATTTATTAGTCAAATTCTACTAAAAATCTGGTGAGGTTTTCATTGAGATTGCATTGCAGCTACAGACACCTTTAAAATGTGAAGTCTTCCAATTCATAAACATTACATATTTCTCCATGTATTAGGGTCTTCTATAATTTCTCAGCAAAATCTACATTTTAGTTTTTAATGTTGAGGTCTTACACATATTTGGAAAAATGTATTCCATGTATTTGATGTTTTCTGATATACTTTGAATTGGATTACACTAATTTTATATTCTAATTGTGTGTTTCTTATATATGCATTTCAAATTTTGTATAATGTCCTTGAATCCAATACTTTTGCTAATTTGAGTTTTCAGTTCAGTAGCTTATAAGTTTCTTTAGATATTATACATCCCAATCACGTGGTATACAAATAGTGGGGTTTTTTTTTTTGAATTTTTATGACTTTTTTCCTAGCTTTATTTGTCTAGCTAGAACCTCCATCACAATATTGAATAGAAGTGATGAAAATGAATATTCATTCACTGTTTCTGATCTTAGGGAGAGGGCATCCAATATTTTACCATTATATGTAATGTTAGCTCTTGAGTTTCATATTCAAGGAGTTCCTTTCTATACCCAATTTTCATGTTAAGTTTTTTTCTAGCGTGTAGTCAAGTACTAAAAGATACTATAAAACCATGGATGTTTGGTTTCAGGAATTCTACAGGCAGGAGCTGATCTCTCTGATCAACTTTTTGGCCTCTTGGCTATGTATTTCCCCTGCCTGTGAATGTTAGGAATCAGCCCAGGATTTGGGTGAAATTAATGAGCAGATGTTGAGGCTCCCTTCTGTTTGGTACCCTCATTTCTTGGAATTTTCCCCTCATTCCCATACATTCTTGCAGCTCCAGATACCAACTTCTATCTTTTCCACCCAGTAAGACTGCAATTCCTTTATGAGTCGTATTCTATGAAAACTGGAAAGTGCCTGCAGGGGAAAAGCTGGTTAAATGTGCGGTTATGTTTCTGTCCTTTCAGTGAATGAATCCTCTCCTGTTTCTTTTTGTTTTGGGTGGTTTTCTTGTACCTTCACAGTTGTGCTTGTTTTTTATTATTTTGTTCAGAGTGTATATGGATTAGTAGCAGGAGGCTTAATCTGCTATAAACTGCTCCACTATTATGAGACAATCACTCCCATATTGAATTTCTTATAGTTCTTCAACTACACACCTTTCCTCTGACCTCTGGCCGCCACATATATTATTTCTTTACCTGAAGCACTATTCCCCTGCTTGTTGACTAACTGGTTTCCAACTACCCTCCTGTCTCAGTTTAAAATCAGTTGCTCGACAAAATCTTTCTAATTATTTTCTACCTCATGTAGGATGTTCCTTCTGTGATACTTTCCCACAGCACATTGCACTCCTTTTGTAGTACTGTAGGACTCACCTGCTCATATTCATTTGTTGAATATTCCTTACTTCTTAAAGGGTAAGCTCCATGAAAGCAGAAACTACCCCTTACACCAGTCCTGGCTAATTAAAAAGTACTCTGTAAATAATTGTTCCTTTTCAGAAAACCAAGGAGCAAAATAGTTTGATCACCTTATCACAAATACTGAAAAGGCAATTTCTAAAAATTATTGATAGGCAAACATGTCAGAGTACAGATATGTATATAGGTAGTCATCAGTCAATAATTACAGCAAATTTTTCTCTTTTGCATTTTTTCTTCACTTTCATACCTAGAATGTGTTCAAACTGTATAGTGCTCTGGTGTCCAGCTAAGAGGACAATAAAGAGCCACCTTTTTGAAGGGATTTCAAGTGACAATGGGACAAAGCAGTTCTATGTAACAAACTTTCACATGTTGCCCCAAATCTAAAATAAAGTTAAATAAATAAATGAAATGTCCAGATAAGTCTTCTAGTAGCTTTTGTACCAACACCGAGAAATCCATCTGATAATCTGATCACACTGTGGTTTATTATTAAGAGCATCAGCTCTGAGACTGTTCTGCAGCAAAAAATAAAAAAATAAAAAAATAAAATCCTTTTTTTCATTTTTAAGATGGAGTCTTCCTCTGTTGCCCAGGCTGGAGTGCAGTGATGCAATCTCGGCTCACTGCAACCTCGGCCTACAGGGTGTAAGCGATTCTCCTGCCTCAGCCTCTTGAGTAGCTGGGATTATAGGCACACACCACCATATCTGGCTAATTTTTTGTATTTTTAGTAAAGATCAGGTTTCACCATGTTGGTCAGACTGGTCTTGAACTCCTGACCTTGTGATCTGCCCACCTCGGCCTCCCAAAGTGCTGGGATTACAGGCATGAACCACTGCTCCTGATGAAAAAAAAAAAAAACAAAAAAAAACTATTCTACAGCTTAAAAAGAAATTACTACCTAAACTCATCTAGTCAATGAGGTAATGTTGCAGTAGACACCATTATATAGATTTTGTTCTTTTCTTTAGACAAGCAAACACATTTAGGGAATCAGACTTTGGATATCTTGGAATGGTTTGGGATACTTCATTAATTCCACTTAGAAACCAGGGCCTAGCAAAGGGCTTGGCAAAGAGTAGTTGTTAAATAAACATTTATTTAATATATCAATGAAAATGATTGCAGCAAAAATTCACAACAAAGACAATTATAATAAACAAAGTTTATTGATTAATCCATAAACATAACCATTTAAAAAACATATAAACCAAAGTATTGCCTTTGATTAATAAAATGAGGCTTTTCCTGGGTAAAAGCTCCAATTAACCAGCACAGTTCTTACAACGCTGAAGACCATTTTCATTGCAAGCTGTACACTTCAGGGCTTTGAAAGAGTCTGTGAAGCAGTTTCGAAACACGGACATCTTGCTCCCATGGCACACAGAGCATGGAAGAAAGCCAAAGCCTCCACAAGAGGGACACTCATGCGGATGCTGCACTCTCTGTATAAAGTGGCAAGGGAAAAAGAGAGAACAGAAGATGTGTTAGCATGAACAACTCAATCAGCCTCCTGGTCTTTCTGTACTGTGAGTGGTCATAAAACAATATTGGCATAATATGGCTACACACTTGAACTCATCTACCATTAATACACATTACACCCAGGGAAGTAATTAGCTGAAGTTCTCCTTCATCCCCCAGCCAATGGCCAACTACACCACAGGTATGGTTTGTAAAGTGGGTAAATTTTAGGTTGAAGGGCATATAACTTCAAGAAATCCATCATATGAAAACATCTATTTACAAACCAAATAATTTAGAAGTTGACTTTTTGTATTAAAGGAAAATACTTTAACTTTCCCTTTAGTATTATTTAACAGTTTCACGTCTTTGTTTATAGAACAGTATATTAATAGCAAGTCTGGAAAATCAGAAAGCTAAAAGTCGAAGTATGCTATTAACTGAAGACTGCTAATTATATTGTAAATTTAGAGTAATACTTCTTTTTTCAAAGGACTTTCAAATAGATTTTTGTATAGAATCTTCACCCACACTAAACACTACACATACAGACACCTTTTTCAGTAAGGATTTAATTAGAGCATCATTATCCTCATTTTATTTTTTAAGAAAATAAGCACAGAAATCAAGAGACATTTCTGCAGATCTATTTAACTTCCCACAGTGCTATCAGCCTTCCTACCTCAAGCAAAGGTTAAGTATCTCTGATAGTAGAATTAAAATAGCTAGATAGTGTGTTGAGAGTAATACTTTGAAAATCATTTACATGCATTTCGATTTACTTTTCTGAGCATATAACCTTTACTGGTATCCTCTAGGGGCATCCATCAGTTTAGGGGAGATTAGGTGCCATTATAGAATGAATACAAAGAGAAAATAAGTAAATTGATACTAAGCTTCCGACTTGCAAAAAAGGAATTTGCAGCAGTGTTTGAAACCTTGGCTTTGTGATGGGAATAATTGCTAAAATAAGCTCAGGAAATGTGGATACGCGCGCGCGCGCGCACACACACACACACACACACACACACACACACACACGCAGAGACAAACACGCTTAATATACTGACACATACATATAGCCTTTCTCCAAAGATTTATAACTACACATATTAAAGTCTCAAAATATTCAACTTAAAAGAAACCTGATTAACTGGGTTTAACCCATGATTGTTCCAGCACATACAACTATGAGAATTTTTCTCAAGTCAATAATATAATTCTCTCATAATTAGTAACCTGTGAAATTCACTCTGGTAATCAAACATTAGGACCTTACTGATATTTAGAAAATATCAATCTAATATTGATATTTTAAGGCAATATAAATGGGCATTTTCCTTATCTATCAGGACTCACTTGTGGTTATAATTTGAATTGGCTATTACAATCAAGATGGCTAATCTCATATAATATCTCATTTCTAATGCCACACAATCACAGAGAGTAGTTGTTGTCAATCTGAATGATACAAACAATGAACTTCATCAAGACTGTAGAGATTTAAAGTTCTTCCAAAAAGATAGATTGATATGTACAGCAATTTGGTTACTTTGTTGATTAACGTTTGCCATTTCTTTGTGCAAGAATCCACCTAAAAAAGATACGCTGCACTTAAATTTTGCACAATATTAAAATATAAATAAGAAAAACTTCGAGCAAAAACAAACCTGGTGATGGAAAAACTGTACTTTAAAAGCTAAGTATAAACAAAATTCCTAAGTAATGGTGTTCTTACCAAAATTACAAAGAATATAATAATGTAGATAGATCCTTGTCATTCACTATTGCTATGACAGGAGATTAATATTTAATGGCTTGTACAACAATTGCACCAGGTCAGAACAGATGCTGGGCTTGCCAGTGTCCTAGAGAAAGGACCTGCAGGGACCCTGAGTCCAGCCCTTTATTCATTACTGTTAGATTGTAAATGGACCTGAGTTCCTAGTAGAATAGAGTTGTCATATTTTGCAAATAAAAATACAGGATGCTCAGTTAAATCTGAATTTCAGATAGAGCACAAATAATTTTTGTGTAAGTATGTACTAAATATTTCATGAGATGTACTTAAGCTAAAACATTATTTATAATTTATTTGACATTTAAATGTGAGTGGGCATCCTGTGTTTTGTCTGGCAGCTTACAGGTTGAAGTTGACAGAGAAGAAGAGATGTTTGTGCATCTTGGGCAATGGCTATTTACCAATCAGTATAAATTATTTCAATTTTTTTTTCATTTTTGGGGTTTTTTTTTTTGAGACATAGTCTCACTCTGTTGCCCAGGCTAGAGTGCAGCAGTGCCACCTCGCCTCATTGCAACCTGCATTTCCCAGCTTCAAGTGATTCTTCTGCTTCAGCCTTCCAAGTAGCTGGGATTACAGGTGCATGCCACCACCTTCAGCTAATTTTTATATTTTTAGTAGAGATGGTGTTTCACCACACTGGCCAGACTGGTTAGGAACTCCTGACCTCAAGTGATCCACCCTCCTTGGCCTCCCAAAGTGCTGGGATTACAGCCGTGAGCCACTGCACCAGGCCCAATTATTTCAATATCTTAATGACTACAAACATATTTCAGTATTTTCAATCACCACAACTGCTATACCAGTGCACACTAGGTGAATATCAACTGCTGCTATGACCCAAGACACTTGTGAATGACCAGATTCTTGAATAGCAATATGGTTTTCTCATAAAATATATTTGTGACTACAAGCAAAGACCAACAAAGCTGAAATGAACATGTTAGTGCTGTGCAGCTTCCTGAGCTCACTGTCTATCTGTGGCACTTTAGTCACCAGGCTCTGAGCACACAAAATTCTAAATAGTAACTCAACACAATTAAAAATTATTAGCCAGGTACGGTGGCTCATGCCTGTAAACCTAGTAGTTTGGGAGGCTGAGGCAGGTGGATAACGAGGTCAGGATATGGAGACCAGCCTGACCAACATGGTGAAATCCTGTCTCTACTAAAAATACAAAACAAAATTAGCCTGGCGTGGTGACGCACTCCTGTAATCCCAGCGACTCAGGAGGCTGAGGCAGAATTGCTTGAACTGAGGAGGCAGAGGTTGCAGTGAGCTGAGATGGACTCCAGCCTGGGCGACAGAGTGAGACTCCATCAAAAAAAAATTATTTTAGGCCAGGCGTGGTGGCTCATGCCTGTAATCCCAGCATTTGAGAGGCAGGGGTGGACAGATCATGAGGTCAAGGAGACCAACATGACCAACATGGTGAAACCCTGTCTCTACTAAAAATACAAAAATTAGCTGGGCGTGGTGACACACACCTGTAGTCCCAGTTACTTGGGAGGCTGAGGAAGGAGGATCGCTGGAACCTGGGAGGTGGAGGTTGCAGTGAGCCAAGATCGCACTACTGCACTCCAGCCTAGAGACAGAGCAAGTCTCCATCTCAAAAAAAAAATATATATATACATATATATATATATACACACACACACACACACACACACACATATATACATACACACACATATATATATTACATAGTCAACATGACTTACAAATATTACTTTCAAAGCCTAAAATATCAAATGTTAAATCCACTGATACCAAGAGTCTACTGTTTCTTCATAATTTGCCCCCTTGTCAGAACAAATAAATCTCCTGTCCTAAAATAAATTTGATATATAAATACCAAAGCATTTTTATTTTTAAAGATAATCACAAATACAAGGCCATCCTAAAATAGTGTCCTCAGAATCTGTGCAATTCTGCGATGAGATCTCTCTTTTATTTAAAGGATTGTTGAGAGGACTCAATGAACTAATTCATGGGAAGTGAATAAAACATTGCCTGGCACATAGTAGGCACTCAATACAGTTAGTCATTGTTAGCCATTATTTTATTAATAAATTCTTATTTGAAAGGATTTTTATTAACTGCTACCTCAATCTAAACTGCTTGTGGTCACATGACATAACCATTTTCTATACTTCTCAGAGTCATTCAATTTAAATACTTGTTCTATACTTAGCTTTCTGGTTTAAGGTTTTGTCACTGCAAGAAAGGGAGAGTAAATGTGTTTCAATTCATGTGCTATTTCTGTTGTCTTGGACCACAGTGCTAGAAAGATTCTCAGGCCACTTCCATTCTCAAGAAAAATAAGCTATTTCAGGCATAAACGTAGGAGAGGAAAGGGATGGCTTACATCTCGTGTGGGGTCTTTGCCCCCTTCTCACACCAACCAGATGTGACAGACACTACCGTTTCATAAATGAGGAAACAAAGCCTCTCAATTGTTTTTTTAAAAATAATTATGAATTTATAACTAGAAAGTTGAATATTGAAGGGGTCTCTTTATGAGCAAAATCCATGTTCATCCCACTATGATAATGGTTTTCCATGTTTATTTGCATCCATTTTTTTTTCCAAAATTACCTAACCCTGAGATCCCCAAATGTAAAGTAGTTGAAAGGATAAATGCTAAGACTAAAGCCAAAGTGGTGGTGGAATGGGGTGGGTCTTGAGGCAACCCACGGAGGCTCCCCAGTGCCCCCTCAGCACCCAGGAATCCCTTCCTGCTACATCATCCAGCACAATTTATGCTATTTGCTATTCTAATAAGAATAAATAATTTACGCATGGCTAGCCATATCTTTCAAAGAGCACTTTTGTTATACTGCAATTCTGGTTTTAGTTTAGATTATGTACAAAGAAAACCCAGTTGGATTATATTAGATGCTCTTATGTTAGTGTTGCCCTGAAGTCTAACCCTTCCTTAGACAGTTTTGCCCACAGATCAAGATGGAAAAAGAACTAGGAATTTCCCATAGAACATGGACAAAGTTTCAAGTTGGAGGAAGAAAGAATAACTGAAGTTAATGAAACAGACTTCCACTTTACTAATAGTATTACTAGTTACTATTAGTAGCATTACCAATTAGTAACAAAACAGACTTCATTACTATTAGTAACAAAACTGACTTCCACTTTCAATGAAGAGACTGACTACAGGTAATG